TTACTGCCAAGGGTATTCAATTTTCAAAGCTAATTCAAATTCATTGTGATTTTGAAAAGGGAATGATAGAGGCACTTCAACAATTTTTCCCTAAAGTCCGTATAATTGGATGTTGCATGCTAAGTTCGGTCAATGATAGGAATTGAGGGGAAATTAATCGTCGAGGAAGTACGATTATGTAAAGTAAAAAAATGTTGTGGGATTTTTAATATTGTATATAATTTTATAATAAAATTTTGTGAGACATTTTAAGAAGCACATATAATTTTTTGAATTTAAAAATTAAAGTAGTGTTGAATGAATTTATTGATTAATTTAATACGGATATTTCTCAAAATTAATCAAAAATAGGTTTTCAGAGAACTTTTGAGATATCTTTTCAAAATGTCTTTTTGAAAATATATAAGTATTATATCAAATTGAAAAAAGGTATTTATCAAAATTCGAAATTCTTAATAAAAAATAACTTTTCAGAGGATTGTGATTTTGAAAGCATGAGTAATAAGTAAAAAATATCTACGATTTTAATGAGGGAATTGTTCCTTATGAGGTATACATTATAACTATATAACTCATAAGGAACAATTCTTTCTTTAAATGGGAGAAACTTTGTCCGAATGTTAAACTATTCGGACAAAGTTTCTCCCATTTGTAGTGGAGATGGAAGGCTTTGAGGTATATTATATTAATATGTACCCAAAGCCTTCCATCTTTATTGTACAATTTAAAAATTCAGGAAAAATGTAATAAGATTTTTATAAAAATTAAGCGTTTATTCGTAATTGTGTATTCAATGTTCGGTATTTCTTTGATTTCGAAGTGTCCATCAATCATAACTCTCCAAAATGGCGTTTCACCCTGTTTCCAATGTGGTGTCTCATTGTAAACATCTTCTGGAGTCATGGGGCGAAAACCCTTTTTGGAAGGGTTTTATGTGGTACTGAGTTGTAATTTTTCCTGAATTTACAAGAAATTCTTGAATTTGTTTTGCATTTGAAGACCGGCCGACATTTCTTTCAAGAGACGGCCAGAGCCTTTCAATCTTGCCGTTCTGGCGCGGCATATGGGGGAGAGTGTGGCGGATTTGAATGTTGTTTCGCATGAGCCAATAGTTAGTAAACATATCATGGGTACGGAGACACTGCGCGCCTCCTTACCCATTATATGTGAATTTGACACTTTACAAAACCGTTAACGTATATTTTACAACACAAACGACAACACTAACTTAACCTTAAATATTTACAAAGCCGCCAACCACTTCACCTCACTAATGTAAAAAATAAACGTTCTCACTTACAAAGTATTGCAACTCTCCCATTGCTGTGCTTCACACAACAGTTCATAATCTTCTGACTCACTTTCTTCTTCATATAGGTCAAAATCACTGTCAAAATAAATGTTAGTAAGTTTTGACAAAGCTAATGAAACACGTTTACCGTTTGTATCGTATGCTTGTATAAACTTTCCATTATGCTTGTAGTCATAAACGCTCAAACTAACTTTACCCTTTCTCCCTCGTATCTGATAGAATGTATTTTCACGAGGAACGAAGAACAAATTCTTGAACTCATGACCGTTGTAGTTTGTTATCTCAATAGTTTTCGTCATTTATATAAATAAAAATATAAAATAAAAAATAAACTTAAAAATTAATGATATCACCACCCTCACACGTATGAAAACATAGCACAAAAATAAATTTAGGTGAAGTGGTGAGATCTCACCTCTTTTTTCAACCCTGTTGAATTCATTGCTTTATAACTCTCTTCCTTTCTCCAACTCTTCTAACTTCTTCTTAAGTTCAGCAATGTTGTCCTCATGAAGTTTAATCTTTCCTTAAAATTCCTTCTTATCTAATGGTTGCTTTATCTTTCTAAACTGAACTCTACCATCCTTCATAGTATGAACGTAAAAACCTTCTGGAACCGCTCCTGATTTAATGTATTCTACCAAAAACTTTTGTTTCATTGCTTCAGTGACTTTAGTCGTCATTTCAATCAAATAAAAATTTTAATATTAAATAAAAATAACGTTATTTTTTCAGTAAGGAAACGCAGGAGTTTTACGATTTATTTGAGGAGTAGGTTCTGGTTTAAATGTTGGAGTCGGTTTAGGAGTTGACTTTTGAACAGGAGTTTGTACTTCCATAGGTTCAGGAGTCATTGAAGGTTTTGCTTGTGAAGGTGTTGGAGTTTGTTTAACTTCAGCTACTTCAGTATTATTTACAACATTTGCTTTATTTCTTTTCAACATCATAACTGCTCCTGCTGTAGCTAGCAAACCTAGTGGGAGACCATATTTATATAAGGACTTGACCAAATGCTATTTTTGACAGGAGCTGGTGGAACACCTAACCTTGGTGAGACTGCTCTTTGCCATTGTGCAGCTCGTAAGAAATATTCAATAGGTGCTCCATAATCGTTTGGTAAAGTTTGTTTCATAGATGGTGAAGGTTCACGAGAGCTTGATGAAGAACTCATTTATAAGCTTTAAAAATAAACGTTCATCCTTTATTCCTCACTGTCGTCCGTAGCTAAGTTATAGTCATCTAATCTTATTATTGGGATTCCATTAGCACGCACCTGAATGGCAAAGCAACAATCCCTCATAAATCCAATAAGTGGCTTTGGTACGTTTTCAGTTGCTAGTTCAATAGGTCCTTTAACAGACAATTTGTATGTTATTGGAGCAGTAGATGTTTGACCTTGCTGGAAGCAAAAGTCCACTTCTGTTGGAAAACCACATAAGAAATGTGTGTTGTCATAGCTATCCCATTTATGTTCCACACTACCATCATCCACCAATGACCTCATAACATCTTCATTAAATCCTATCATATCATTGTTTGTATTGCAAGCGTTCGCAACCATTTCATAAAATACAGGTCCATATGATTTTTCAGGTTCTGCAGGCATATTTCCATAAGCTCCCATGGAAAGCTGAAGATATTTAAACTTAGGGTTCTCAAAATTAACATAATAGTTGTCTTTCTTTCTAAATAGTGCCCAAATACTTTTAACATTAATAGGCGTATAAGCTGCTGTAAATGTTGCACTTGAACTATCTGTATTCTTTGAGAATGAACCGTCCATAGGAATCCAATCCATAACTTTAACAGGAAAACATAAAGCCTCGTTTGTATAATGTTCTACAAGTTCTGTATAAATGTTAGGGTCTAAAGAGAATGACTTTGGATGAATGAAACATTCATTAAAATCCATCTTTGTTCGAAATAGTTGCTGGGTTACAGTTGTAATAGTAACTGTTCCACTAGCTTCTACTGCCTTCGTTATCATAGTGAATGGTTCATTCCATGGAACAAATTTATTTGTCGGTGGATTTGAATCTGAAGCAAATGCAACTTTAAGAGTTGGATTGAAAGCAATGATATCATTTACAGATATAGATGTGCATTGTAAGGCGTCGCTACTGAACTTTACTTTAAGCTGAATGTTTCCTGCAAAAGCTGGAATAAATCGAATAGCTTCTAATGGAAGGAATCTTCTAACAGGAATTCTTAAACGAAGCTTAAAATCAAATGATTTTCCTGCTGTAATTGGACCACTAACAATTTGTCCTGTTCTGCATGTTCCCGAATGACTCCATACATCTTCATGTCGAGTCTTTGAGAAAACATCTACTTTCTTTATTTGTTCGGTAGTTTGTGAGTTTGAAGTTATATATGCTTCTTCTCTTGCGTTGTCTTGAGAATATACGATACGACCATTTGCAAGGATTTGATATCCAGCAACTGCATAGAAAGCGTCATCGAAACCAATCCAAAATCCTGGTGGGTTTGTTTTATTGGAACCTGAACCAATTTCTTTATCTACAATAAATTGACCTTCCATTTTATACGTAATGAATGTATTGTAAAGGTCCAACATATTTTCACCAGGAGGTGAGAGATTGAATGTTACCCATGTGTTATCTTTAGCAGTTCCAGGTTGTGATGGAATCTTTGCGTCAGAATATTTTCTATTAGTGTCACCAATTTGAACTGCATTGTCTATGATATCGAAATATGAGCGAATCTGATGAATATGCTCTGCTGGAGTAAATTCGTTTAGCTGTTCGTTCTGCATGTATTTACTTCAGATAAAAATATCTATTTACTTCATTATTCTCACTCTTCTTCTTGGCATTCGTGGTGGAAGTTGTTTCTTGACATTTTCAATGAACTGTACATTCTCTTTTGTCTCAACTTCTTTCACTGGTGGGTCAGGGTTCTTTGACTCGGTTTGTTTTTCAATGAAATTCACGAACTTTGCAATAAGCTCTTGGTTCGTTATTGAAAGTACATCTGGCTTCTTTTCTTCTGGTTCTATTGGTGGCTCAGTTTGAACAGAAGGTTTTATATGGGCTTCGTGGACTTCACCCTTGCCATACACCTTAATGTTGTCGCTTTCTGCATTCGCTAATGGAACCTTTCTTTTTCTTACGTATATTTTACCATCTTTACTCTGACTTACGTAATAGAAAGGATGTTGTATTCCTCTTGCGTCATTTAATATAATAGACTCTCGCTCTGATTTTGACAAGCTCATTTTACATCGGTTAAAGTTTTAATTTTGTTTTTTATCTGCAGTCAAATGACTCAGACAAGCCCTACGGACAAGACCCAAGGGGTCATAGATGTTGAAGCATTGAAGAAAGAAATTCGTGAGCAAATTTTATCCGAACTGAAGGAACAAAAACAAGAACAAAAGCCAGAGAGACCAAAGAGAAAACTTAGTGAAAAACAACTTGCTGCATTAGCTGCTGGAAGACAAAAGAACCCACGTTTGCTGGCGAAGAAAGCTAGAGAAGAAGCTGAAGCAAAGAAAGAGTAAATGGTTTATTTTTATCCGAATTAAATGTATAGACAAATACCTTTATCTGTTGCGTTCAGTAGTGAAAACCCTGACGTCAAAATAAAGGGGAACAGAGTAACGTTTAAGTTTCCAACAGACTGGATTGTGAACATAAATGAAGAGAAGTACATTGGCATAACATCTATGTATATAACACGTGCTTTCAGAAAGGTTGACTTTATACTTCAAGTCGAGATAGAAAATGACGAACAGTCTTTAAGCGCCCAAAACATTCACATATACAAATACTTTAAAGACGATACAACATTGCAACAATGTATGATTTCATTTAATGAGATGTTCGAGAAAAAGTTCAACATTGAAGTACAAACTTTACAGCCTTTACGTGAGTTTCTTGCACAACTGAAAGAAGAAGGTAGTCAGCCACAACTTATAGACTTTCATTATGAATTTAATGAAAATGCTGATGGAACTCATGACTGTCAATTCATTGTATTCTCACCATTCAATGAAGTAACTAAAAAGAAAAAAATCCATTACGTATAAGATTTCAAATCTCTGAACCAAGTGATGATTTCAAGAATGTTTTCAATTATGATGCAATGCTTCCGAGGAAAAATGAATTTTCCGAAATTAGATTTCCAGGTATTTGGGATAGAAAGCAAGCTATATTATATTCAAACTTAAGTAAGGGAGTTGAAAATGAGTTCATTGGTCATACAAGAACTTCACCACTTCCTAACCCTAAATACTATAAATTAACTGGCTTCAATCGTGAGTTTTGGATAGACATGTTCTCCACTCATGACCATAAAGCACCTGTTTTGCTACCTCCAGACCATAAGGACTGTCTCTACATTGAAGCACAACTCTTAAACTCTACCATCGCAGTATTGTAAATGACCACATGGGCTTATTTTTATCACGAATGACCTCATTGCTGACAAAAATAAATGACCTCAGAACTTCAACTTACGAATAAAGCTTGTTTTAGTCGTTATTGAGAAGTTAAACTTCTCTTCAAAGCAAGGTTGACATGACTTACATAAGTCAAATCCAATCTCTTGACCGTCATAAAGTGCTTTGTAAAGTTTCATTAAACTGAACTCAGAGTCTTTGTCATATGTTCCTTGCGGAACCATTAAACCTTTATCTTCATCATAGAAACACTGAACAGAGTCAGGAAACATTTCATTAGCGGTTAAAGCAATAACATCTTGCTTCACGCCTTTCATTCTGCAGTGAAATGCAACTTCATTTAAATCATTCGTGAGTAAGTCTATGTAAGTCTTCTTTCCACAAAATATTGACTTGTATGCTAAACTTTGTTTTCCAGGTGTGATTTCTGCAAAGTCGCTATGAAATTGACCAAGGTTTTTACCAATGAGAACTCTTCCATAACGTTTCTCAAACTCTTCAGCTAAACGAGGGATATCTTCATTGTAGAGATGCATACTGTCCGTATCGCTATAAAAGATGTCCATTCCTAAGTCCTCAGCAGTACAGAATACTTCACACATTATTCTCTTCGACATAGACAGAATGTTAACACCAAGTGGACAGAAGTTAAAGTGTCTGCAAATGCTTTTCGTTAGCTTGAAAATAGTTTTATCTGAACCATCCAAACCTTCGAACTTCACTATATGGTTGTAGTTTCTGATGGCATATCTTATAGCATCTTTGTCATTTACTATGGTTATTTTTGACTCAATAGGAGATAGAATAGTTTTGCCATAAATACTGTTCAGAATGAGCTTTATATTTTCTTGCAAAGGATTTCCTTCTTTCTTATACTTTAACCTTAACTCAAACAACTTCTTTACTTCATCTCTTATTCTAATATCTCTGTTTCCATCGTAATAGTATCCTTGCAACACTTCACATTTGACACCTTGATATTTTATGAGGTCTTGTAATGTTATATGGTCAACATACATTAAACAGCAAGTGTTTGAACTTCTGGGAACGTTAAGTTCTGGATTTAGTTCAGGGTCACAAACTATTAAAGGAAAGTGTCTATGTATTCCAATCTCTGTTATCTTAATGAGAAAAAGAAGCCAGACATAAACTTTTCACCAATGGGTTCCTTTTGGTCGTCATCGAATAAATGTCTCATGAGATACTCTGTGCTTAACATTTCTTTCTTCATAACCTTTGGAATACCTTCTAAAGTATAAAGTCTTGCTATAGCTGATGGATATAATGAAACAGCGTCGAAATCAGCAATGAGTTTCTTTTCGCTCTTTTGTTTAATGTTATCTGACAGCATACATCTTCCACCTTGAATACAGCGTGAAATAAATTCTCTTGGTTTATTTGAGAGGTCATATAAATTTCCATTCGGGAAGTACACTCTGTTCTCAAACAATTTGTTAGCAATTGAACAAATACTAACGTAGTCATAAACGTTTAAATCAAATTCTTTCAATATGTCATTGCGGAACTTAACAAAACCTTCTCTTAAAATTCTTACATCTTGTTTGCAATAAAATGTGCTATACTTTTCTAAGTCGAAGTGGTTCTCATCTATTCTGCAACCTTTGATGGAATCTATGTTTTTCATGAATGTATCTGCATCCCGGATAAACTTACATGCTTCAGAAATGACACCAGTTCTGTTGTCATTTGCTAACAAAACACTGCTGTAGTAGTTGTATGGAAATACTTCTTTCGGTCCTGTTTGTAAGTTAAACATAGCAGGAAATAGTTTAAGCTTCTTATTTATAACACTGTAAGAGTCTTTTATAATAATTGCCCTTCCTTTATATAAGCCAGTTATTTGCATTGTTCGTGAACCTTTAATGATGGGAGTTCCTTTCACTTCTGTCATGTGTCTTAAGATGAAGTTTATGTCATAACTGAGGTTATGGAAATATATTAAACTCTTGTCAGGAAGTCGCTCCAAAAATTCTGTTGCACAGTTCTGACCCCAAATGCTTTCACTCACTGAACCATCTTCACTGTCATAACAGATGTTAAAAGCTTTATGAAAGCCATCGGTACTGCACTCAAAGTCAGCAAAGAAAACGTGCTCAGGAATGAACTTGCACTTATTTTTATTTACTTCTTTTGACTCGGCTTTCTTCTTCAGTTGTACACAATACTTTGGAGCATATGTCAAATCTTTAAATGGTGCAAGGTTCTGTTTATATAAGTCAGTCGTATATGTGAAAAGTTCTCCATAAGAAATAGGTTCGAAATATTTGCACTCCCACAATGTTTTCATAACATCCCATAACGGTGTTGTTCTATCATAACGAACTACATATTTATCTTCTCTCTTTGTATAAATCTTCATTTGTTTCTCAATGTTCATTCCACCACAAGCTTTGAGAATTTCTTTGTAATTTCTGACGAAATATGTTGTCATTGGTAATCTTTCATTTAGCATGTAGTGGTCTTCAACAAGAAGTAAGTCAATAGTTCTAACAGTTTCACATTCTTTTGGTATGTATCTCTTTATTTCATTATGTCTTGAGTCATTGAAGTAACCAATGGTAACATTAAATGCTATACCTGTTGCGTCAGAAATTTCTTGTACTTTACTTTGAGGAAAGTCTCTAACACGAATGACTTCTCTCATGTGGTCAATAGTTTCTTCATCTACTCCAGCCTGAATGCAAGCATAAACGAAACAATTGTCTTCTGTCATAAGTGTTGCAGTTCTTTTGTTCAGTTCATTGAAGATTTGGTAGCGTTCAAGATTTATAGGTAATGTGCAAAGATACTTCCAGAACTGACCGCTTCTCTTCTTATAAAACTTCTTTTCACCATTATCTTTCCAAAAGCTTTCTATAAGTGCTGGGTTTCCTGTTTGCTTAAGAGCTTCCAAAATGGCTTTCTGGTCATTTGTCAGTGTGCTTTCATCTCTATATGGTCTCTTTTTTGGTTTGCCTTTCTTTACATCTGACATCGTTAAGCCTTCATATTCTGTTAAATCATACATCTTTATTTCAGTAAGATTCTTTATGTTTGTCAAGAAGAAGTCATAGTGCATTTCAACAATACCTGCAGCATTTGCTTCTATCTCTGATATAAAGTTCTCCTTCAAGAGCTGATGTAGTAATGTTCCAATATTATTGAGGTTTAACGTAGAACATTCATACTTTCCACCAAGTTTATAACATACCATCCATCTTTGTTGGGAGTTTATTTTAATTTTCTCTAAGAGTCTCATGAAAACCTTACCGAAATGTTTGTGTAAGTAGTCTCTGTTTGGTTCATCTAAAGCTTCGATGTTAAAGTCAATGAGTCTATTGCCTGACTTCACATTTCTCTTCCTATTCTCTTCATCTTTCTTTAACCATCTCTCACCTTCTTTTGGTTTGTCGTCAATGGAACGAATGACATCGTTAGCTTTGCGAACTTGTTCTATAGCACTTTTAAACATCTCTCTTCTCTGTTGTTTCAGTGTGTCGTCTCTTCTTCTTGTTTCACCAACGTTTGCATTTGTTATGTCAAACATTTCTCTTCTTACTTCATGAGGTACTGAACGTCTATGATATAAGTCAATAGCAATGTCATTTAAAGGAAATGCTCTTCCATGGATTTCGTCTTCGCCGCGTTGCGGCTTTATGAACTCATGAATTCTATCATAACTTATTGCACCATTATAGTCATTGAGGATGTCAGCGAGTGCTTTTTTGTTTGTTGCGTAATGTTTTGCTACTTTTATGTTAGCTTCTGTAAGAAGTTGTTTTATTTCCGAGTGTTCTAACTTAGACAACTTCCGGTACATCTTTAGTAGGAAATAAAAAAAATATTTTTTGAAAAAATTAGATTAGATTTTTTAAGTTATTTTTCAAAATAATTTAATATTTTTATTTTAATGAAACACATGCAAGATTGCAAGTTCTTTTCATACAATGCTCTCGCTACTGCCATCAAGAATGAGTTCAATAATGCTTCAAATGTTAATGTTATCTTTAACAAGAAGTTTGTGAAAGAATCTAAGTTTGGTCAGTATGTCAGACCATTAGCTATCGTCATTGACCGCAAACGTTATACTTCACAAGAGTTAGCAGTAGTTTTGAAACAAAAGAGTTTCTTCGTGAATGTCAAAGATACTCATTATACTGTCATAAAGAACTCTAACATTGACTTCTTCAGTATTGCTTTAAATCTTTCCGAACAGAAAGAATATAAGAAGGGTGAAACAAATGTGAAATATTATCCTTCATCTCTGAAGACAATAACGAACAAAGATGTTATACAGAAATTCTTACCAAAGGTTGAAGAAGCTTCTATTGACATTGACGAAGAAAGTGAAATGGTTGAAGAAATAGACCCTGAAGCTATTTAAGCAAAAATATATTTTTGAATAACTGATGGTGTCACTACGTCACCATGTCACCAGGTTAATTAACTTCTTTTAAAAATGATGACAACATGACATTTTGACAACACAGCAGGATTAATGCAAAAATGAATGTTATCGTTTATGTTATCGTTTATGTTATCGTTAATGTTATCGTTAATGTTATCAGTGTCGAACATAATTGACGTAGGATTCATGACTTCTTCGTAAATGAGTGTAAATATAGCACAAAAATATATTTTAGGTGAAGAGGTGAGATCTCACCCGTTTTTTCACCTCTTTTTTCACCTCATTCTCTCTTCGTTAATGTTGTCGTGACTTCATTCTTCCTCTTTGAAGTTATCGAAATATTCTGTTATTTTTTCCTTCAGTAATGTTAAGTCTTCTTTGAATGTAAGTATTGTGCAACCTTTGATGTCATAGTGTGTTTGAGGAAGAGTATTTTTGACAATTTCCTTTATTTGCTCATTCGTGTCATTGAAATCGGTAAGTTTTCACGATAGAACCAGTTTCTGTCAGATTTATATATTTTAGCTAAGTCATAAAAGCTCTTGTTGTTTCTTCTGACTAAATGCAACATAACCATATCTTTATCTTCTTCTTTCTCCAATTCTTCAGTATATATCATATACCTATAACTCTTTTCCTTTCCTTTTGGTACTGAACGCGGTATTCTTTTCTGTATGCTTTTGTCTTTGGATTCAATGACTTCATCTTTTGCTTTATATAGTTCATCTAACATCATGAAAATATAACAAGCATAACGAGGTGAAGCCCACATTGCTACAGCGTTTACTAAAAGTCTATGAACATAATAACCTTTCAAACCAGGAGCCAAATTCTTGCGATTTTCATACGGAATCTCTTCTCATCTGCAAAGCAATCATATGAGGAAATTCTTCTAAAAGTTCTTTTGTCTGTTGGTTTTCAAACCAATGATATGCTTGCTTTGTAGAACGAAGAGCATTCATTATACTTTGCATTTGGTACATGTCATCTTTGACTGAACGAATGAGACGTAACTGTTTGTTATACTGTATGTACTCGTATTCTTCATTTATAGGCTTCATGGACTATAACTGTTGTTGTGTTCTCTGATGTTGTCATTACTGTCTTTACATACAAAATAAAAAAATAATAAAAATAAAACTAACTTTATTTTCTGACTTTCACAAAAGACCAAAAATAAACGCTTTAACATGTATTTTTCAGCAACTTCGTCAAATAATTTTATAGCTTTATCTATCTCATCTACTTCAAACGTTTCTTTACCTTTCGTGGGAGCACCATACATTTTCTCAAAACTTCAAGCAGTTCTGTTTCAGCAGCTCTCATATCATTAACAAACACAACCTTGACTCTATTGACTGTACTGTCATATCTTTGAGTTATATTATATGTCCTTCCTATCTTATATCTTTTTGTGTTGAAGTCCTTCGGTTTCTGAACGATGTAAAGTAAGCCTTCACTGCAACGTTCCGTATCGAATGAACCATATGTTATGAAGTTATATCCAACAACTGGGTCTAACCATAACAAAACTATTGGTATAAGACTTTTGTCTATAAGATATGCTCTTGTTCCATGAAATGCTACTGATATCATAAGCTCAGGATTTCTTGTCAAAATTTTCTGAGTTGAAGCATTTCTAACCCAGTCGTTTGTTTTCTTTCCAGATGGAGATATAATGTCTGACAAAGAATATTTGTTGTATTTCTTTGAGTATCTTACGTTTAAATCACCTATTCTAACCACTTTGGTGTCATTGTCTATCTTTCTAACTGTTTCAAACTCAATGTTTGTCATTACTGTCTTTACATACAAAATAAAAAAATAAATAAAAATAAAATTAGCGTTATTTTTCTAACTAATGAAATTCATTATTTTTGTGCTGAATTCAATAAAAATAATTTTAGGTGAAGAGGTGAGATCTCACCTTTTTTTTCACCTAATTTTTCACCTCTTTTTTCACAAGCGTTTTACATGAATTGTACGATGTATATTTGAAATCCTAAACAATTTCGTAGCTTCAATTTCTTCTTTTAGTACATCGAATGTTTTAATCATGCGAAAGTCTCTTTATATTTCTTCTTGACGTCAGACAGAAGGAAATCTTCTGCAGTTGGATAGTTTTTGTTCAGAAATGTCAACATATCCATTTTATCTTCTGCTGGCTTTTCTGCTTCTTTCTTTAAGTCTGCATAGTCGTTTCGCATTCTTTCTATCTCTTTGACTGAGTAGTTATATTTTCTTATTGCTGCTTTACATTTTGAACATTGCGGATTCATTTTTGCGTTATACATTGAAATAAAACCAGCTAGAACAACTAAGGGCGTCAATGGTTTTCTTTAACTCAAAAGCTGCTGGTTTTAACTGTTCATGCCATACCTTACCTCTTCTATCTTTATCTCTTATTTCCCAAACACATTTTGCAACTAATGAAACAAAGTTATCGTATGTCTTAAACTCCACCGATTTATATATGTCAGAAATATTTTTATAAACCATGTCGCAATCTTTGTCCATAACTTTATGGTTGCAATGATATCCTAGAAACTCATAATTTACTTTACGTATGAATTTCTTTATTTCTACTGAGTCAGTTGGTTTCACTTCTATTTCGTCGAATTCAGGAATAGTTAGTTTTTGCTGTTGGATTTCAGGCAATTTGGGTAAATGGTCAATAATGTCCTGCATTTCATAAAGATACTGTTCATTTGTTTCATCTTTCGCACTACAGTCTAAATTACTTGTTAAAAGTTCTTGCTTTATCTTCTGGATTTCTGTTTCAAAAGTATATGAAGAAGGAATAAAGCTTTTCATTCTACCAACATTGACGTAGGATTCATGATTAAGCGAGTTTTGGTGCTGTAGTTGTTTGAATTGTTGTGTGCGATTGTTGAAATCATATCTTTTATACAAAATAAAAAATAAATAAAAATAAAACTAACTTTATTTTTCTATCTTAAGGAAATTCATGAATTTCACGAGGGTGAAAAAAGAGGTGAAAAAACGGGTGAGATCTCACTCTTCACCTAAATATATTTTTGGTGTAAATTTATGACAAAAATAAATGGTACCATTAATGATATCATGACTGTTCTCATTCATGTCTGATTTACATCTAATGAAAAAGTTTAGAAGAATTTTCTTATTTTTTGGCATATTTTTGTCTTTCCAGTACTCCGCTCTAATGGTCCCAGATGTGTTGGCTTTGACTCTCTCAAGTTTTAGATGGTATAACATCTTCAACGCCTCCTTCATATCTTACTTTATAAGTGTCATCGTTTATGTTGTAGCCAAGTATTTCAATACCACTCCTCGCTTTGCTTCGTCAATGGTTTCAGAAGTTTGTCATTACTACTTTCAACTAATTTATGTCGAGGGTAAAACGCAATAGAGTCGTCAGCAGCTTTTATAAGATATCCATTACCTTGCGTAGAGTCTACGATATAATAGTTTCTACTTAACCTTAAACGTTTCTTTGTCAACGGCTTGTCGTCAAGAACTACACGAACTTTGTACCAGGAATGAGGGTAAATTGTGTTGAATTTCTGATATTTTGTGTTTGGCTTCGTTTTTTTGTATATACTTTTCTTCTTGTTGTTGTGTCATTGAATTTGGTGTATGTCCTGTTGTAGAATGTGTTGAGGAATTATATACTTCGAGAAAATGTTTCATTGTTTCTTCGGTAAAGTCTCGCTCTTGGTTTAAACTCTGAGCGTTCTTATGAAGCGGTTTATGATGCGAGTATGTTATGGTTATGGTCTTCAGTAGTGTAGTGAGTTATGTTATGCTTAATGAGAAATTCTGTGATTTCATTGCTGAGGTATGCACTGTCTTGGTCTGATGTTAAAGTACTTGGGCTATGTTCTGCTACAAACTTTTGTAAACTCTTAACACTTCACGAGTTCCTTTATTTTTCATTGGATATGCATATGCTTTACGAGTGTTAACATTAATGAAGATGAGGAATGGTTTATGTCCTCCTTTTCTGCTTTGAATGAGAGTGTCAAATTGGTATGCGTCAGGAGCGTTGGAGTAAATTGGTAAAAGTAGTCGTAAGGGTTTATTTTTGTTTGATGTACAACATTTTTGTCAAAGAACCTTTTCACTTCAGCTCTGTTAGTAAATCCCCAACTCTTTGCAGTTTCATTGAACTTCTTAAATGACCTCCATGGATGTTGTTCGAATACTTCTTTCAAGCTCATTTATGTAAAGTTAAAGATTTTATTCTAGGCTCAAGCGCGTTCATTGAACGCGGTACCATGCGAATATAGTCACAAATGGTGGCATATAATCTTCACCCGAGCCTGTTGGATTTGTTGTGAAAGTATGGACATGATTTCCTCCCGGTTCAGTTGGTCGAAAAATCTTTTTTGCTGCATTGTTATAAGATGGAGATAAAACGTCATGGCCAGCTTCATACTCTGAGTTGTATAATGGGTGGTCTCTTAATGAGTGGCTATGGTCGCCAGAAAAATGTGTAGTTCCTGTATGAGTGTGCGGTGGAAGGTTTGCTTCTTTAATTTTCTTCGAACCTCCTGTTTGCTTTGAAGAGTTAGCACAGTATAAGAATTTGTCTACAATCTGTTCCCACGCACCAAAACCTAAAACTGTTTCTGGATTTGTTGAGTTCATTGACGTATAAATAGAGCCTATAGGATATATGGTTTCAAGAATCTGAGTCTTCATTGTTTGAAGTTCATGTTTAACATTTATAAATCCTTTGCCATCTACAATATTTATATTGTTTGTTATTAAACCATTAGGAAAAGTAGGAGGATAAATTCTTTGTTCTTGTACAGTTGCACCGTTTCTTCCTGTTTTTGTTACTATTTCGATGCATGCTTTAATTTCTTTAATCTTGATTGTTTGAAATTCTTCATGTGTATGGTTCTTGTCGGCTTTTCCATTAAGCGCAGCATTTACTTCCGACTTCTTTGCATAATTTTCATCTACATAAGTTTTGTCTGCTTTCTTCTCTAACTCATCATTAACATAAGTTTTATCCGCTTTAAGGTCTAAACATCCTGAAACCCATCCTGTATCAGCTTTAGTTTTAAAAATCTTTGATGTCCATTCATGATACCATTCAACTCTTTCTTTAATTTCATTATCTTTTTCATCCATATATTCCTTATCTACCTTCTTCTCTAACTCACTAGCCATATATTCCTTATCTACCTTCTTCTCTAACTCATCATTAACATAAGTTTTATCCGCTTTTTTATCTAATGTAGCTTGAAGTTCATTTATATCGGAGATGTTGTGTTTATGAGATTTCAAAACTTTGTTCGTTGCGTCAAGTTCAACTTTGTCAGCTTTACTTTTAATAGCATCTTCAAACGTTATTTTTGCCTTAACTCTCAATGTAAATTTTGGTTCAACTAATACACCGTTAACAGAGAAAGTAGAGGCATAAATTTCATCGTTATAACCAAATACTTCTGGTGTTTTACCTGTGTCATACTGTACAGTACAGCGTATGTCATAACCTTTAGCACGAATGTATTTATATCTTCTTTCATTAACATCTTCCGTCTTCACTTCTTCACTTCGTGTTAAATATCCATGGTAGTCCGTTATAATCTGTTCGTCTGAAGTTATATAATGAACATGGTTCTTGACTTTATCACTCAGAGCTAAAAGCTCATTTTTGTCTGCTTTTTCGGCTAATTTCTCATTAACATCATTCACTTCTAATTCAACTCTTCCGCCAGAACTCTTATTATCATTAATCTTTTTCATTAATTCAGTAATTACGTCATAAAGACTATATTCTGTTTTCGGTTTTGTAAATAATGAGTCAAAATTTCTTTTCATCATTACATCGCTGACATTAATGATATCACCAATTCCTTTTTCATTTATTCTCTTCATTAATTCTGCAATAATGACGAATATATAATCTGTTAATTTATTCTCTTCATTGAGGGTTATAGAATGTTTTGAAATTGAATCATTAACTCCTCTAAATAAATCAATAACTTCAGGATACACGTTTTTAATGTCTCGAATAACCCGACCAGTATCCTGTTGTTCATGTTCTTCGTTCCCGTCGTTACGTGGTTTTATATCTCTAACCATCATCAACGCAGCCATAACCGGAGGGTTTGTTGCTATCTGTTCAAAAATTCGTCCGTTATGTACAGTATATCTAAATAATTTCTTTGTGTTTGTTAAAACATTTGAAACAAGTCTTTTAAAACCATCTACAAAATTTCCTGTTTCACCTAATGTTCTTGCAGCATTTACAAGCTCACTCATTCCCGCTTTTGACCCCAAAAACGTCCATATTGCATTTATTTCACTCTGTATAGTTGTCCATTCGGCAAAATTAATACCTGCATTCGCTAAGCTGAAAATGAAATTCAGTGGATCGAACTTAATTCCACCTTCTTTTTCAATTTCAACGAACTCACTAACATGTGATTTTAAGTATTCTTTCGTTAAAATTGTTTTCCCCGATGTTATGTCATTAACGAAACTATCACCGTCAAAAGTTAACGAATTCAATTTCGTCGTTGATGCTTTTATTTCATACACCGCTTTATCAATAGTTTTTGGCTCACCTTCTTTAGAAGCATATGAAACATTAATGAATGAATTATATGTATTCGTGAATGAGTTAAAATCAATGATTTTCATTAATGACGCCTTTAATGATTCATTTACTGTTGAATCTCTTAAAGCAATTAATGAACTGTCATGGGCTTCGCCCTGGTCGTTTTGCGACTTTATGAAAGGTACACTGCAAACCGTCGAGTTTGGATCAAATGCTGTAGTTGGTGCAGGAATATTAATGATATAAGTCATTAAATCATTAAGTGACGTAAATAATGTTGTCGTTTTTGATTTAATTTCTTTAGCATCTGTTATATATGGTAATTTTATTTCTGTAGTTTCTGAATTAAAGATATTCGCTAAAATGTTTTGTAAACTGTTTTGAACAGCTGTGTAAACCGTTGAATCCGGCACTCTTACGATTTCACCGTCCTTAATAAAAGGCATTGCACATGGTGTAGTGCTTGGGTCAAATCTTTTTGGGTTATGATTCAACATATATTCTAATGCTTCATAAACAGACCTATATACGGTTGTATTATCTTTTTCAATAATTTCACCGTCCTTTATAAACGGCATAGTACATGGAGTTAAAATAGGGTCAAACTTTTCATAGTCCTTCCATGTTATGTATTTCTCAGTATTTCCATCAGTGATAACAATATATTTGTCAGTAAGTGTGAGAGAGTATTGACCAAAATATAAACGTTTAGCTCTGTCAGCTTCATACGCATATGCAGCTATACTCATATTTTAATGAGAATAAAATGTTGTTCTATTTGCAAAGTACAGACCCAAACGAATACGGGACAGTAAAGCTACAACAAACTTAGGTCTACAGAATGAGGCGCTTGCATTCAGAATGGTTGACTTCAATACTATCGCTTCATTCGTTATAACAGATGAAACAGATTTCATGGAGATTGAAATAGATGGAAAGAAGCACGAAATAAGATTTCACAATAATGTAGAATATAAGATGGAAACATTAGCTGGAGTGTTAAATGCTCTCATAAAATACTACAATAAACAAGGATAACGAAGAAAACTTAATGAATGTTAAACTTATTGCAGGAGTTTTGAAGTTCAGTTATGCGAAGGAGTTTAAGATACCAAGAATGAGTCATAGAGTACAACTTCTTTTGGGTGCATACCATATGACATTTCCTTTGAAAAGTGTTGACAAAACGATTGAGATGAAATCTGTTCCATACGTATGTTATGGTAATTGTTTATACATTGAGTCTAAAATAGCTAATGTCACAGGCATTTCAGGAGTTAATAGTAAAGGTTCAGTAGAATATAAATCCTTCTGTTATGCAGTCAATTCAATGTTCATTCCAAACGTTCCTGTCATAGCAACTCATTTAGGTAAATGGGTTCGCATTAGTCCTCATAATTTGAAAGACATGCAATTCAGACTTGTTGACTTTCAAGGAGAGCCTGTAGAACTGAGGGCACCAGTGCGAATGACTGTTGAAGTTGACTTTTTAGAAAATATTAAATGCAACAGCTTACAAGAGAACTCAGAGCTAAAAATATAAAGTATGAATGTTATGTATTAGGTCATGAACTTTGGTTGTTGCTGTTTGATGAAACAAATGAATTAGTTATGTCAGTCAAGAGAAAGAAAAATATTGTGTTAGTGAAAACTGCACCAAGTCAATAAGATTAGGTTTGCATTATGAAGATGAGTTCGATACTGTTGAAGAAGTTTTGGATAGATATTACAAATTGCTAACTTGAAATTTTTTTTGACTGACGGCGCAAAGCGCCAAGATGGACTCAAAGAGCCTCCTGACTGCTTTAATTTACTAAAACATATTTCAAACAAAGTTTATATTCTGTTGAAAGTTTTGTATACTCGTTCGAATATTTATACTTAAACTCAACTCCTGTAGTTCCTGGTGTTTCAATGATGCGGATGTTACCTATTTTCATGAATAGTGGAGTTTGACCACAGCATTCGATTTCAGGGTCGAGATAGTCAATGACACATTGTTTCCCTGTTATTCGTGAGATAACATTTTCAAGGTCCTCCTTTGTTAGAATTATTTGGTTCTTGCTTATAAGATTTACCAAAAGCTTCTTATCGTCTTTGAGTAAAATTGTTTGGTATAACTGAAGAAGGTAATGGTCTACGTTATCTGAAGGATTTGTTTGAACATTTGTGTAAGGGTTGCCGTTGGCTTCTCTTGAAAGAATTTGGTCCAGTGGTGGATACTCTAACTTAACATCTGATGTAGCGTTAGCGTTTGAAGCTGAGTTTAAATTCACGGATTTCAGCTTGGTTCTCTTTCTTTCTTTCAAACACTCTGAACTATAGTTCTTTATGACAATATTGTTTGTCGTTCGTGAGTCAACATTTGATGTTGGTTCAATTGGAACATTAACGGCACCAGCTAAGATGGATTTGCTTCTCATTTCATATAGAATAAAAACCTTTTATATGTATGTATGAACAATATACTCGACAAGGGTTTGAATGTAAAGCTAACGAATGAAAATATTGTTGAATTCACTGAGACAGGTGCTGTGTATAAAGATGTAGAACTACTGAACAAAAGAGCTAAGGGAAGAAGTAGGAACATGAACAAAGGGTGGAAGCCTATAAAAATTTATGTCAATGATGGCTCAGGAGGTTCAAACATAAAGTATGCAGAAAGTTATAGAGTTTATGCTCTCAAAGGTGAAGAGCCTTCATTTAAGAACAGCTATTCTAACGCATATCCTCAAAAGCTAACGGATGGGAAGTGGATGATATGAATGACAGCAAAAATATTAACAGAAATGGCGACAGAGATGCATGGAATTTGTTTACCATCAGTCAATTGAAGGTTAAACTTTAAAACAATGTTGGTCGTTCCATGGAATATTTTTGACTTTAATGGTATTAGTCATGATATGAATCTCAAGGTATGAACGAGGAGAGATGAGAGACTTATATGCTTCCCAAATTTCTTCAAAAGGTAATGTTATACCTGACTGTTTCCAAATGAGTTCAATATCATAACGTGAGAAACCTTGAAAGATAACGAAGTCAGTTATGAGACGTTTTATGTTTAAAGCTAAAAACCTCCATGTTTGCATAAGTATTGCTACAGTTAAGTGGTAATGTCTGACTTTAGTAATGATGTTAGCTAATGGTGAGTCTGGTTTTGACACTAAACCTTTTCCGGCGAAGTCGTCACAAACGAGCAGAGTGTTTGAAGGATATTTTTTGAAGGGGTATTTTGAAAGTTTTGACAGAATGTAGTTTGTAAGTCGTTTCATATCGTAAACTCCTGAGTATTGACGTAAGTGGTGTTTGTCAATAATTCTTTTCATCTCCTCAGAAGTCTTTTGCATTCCTGACTGTATAAATTCAACGATGGCATAATATTTCCTCTTACGTCGAATGTAACGTTGAAGAAATTCAATGAGTTCACTGTCTGGAACTTTAACGACAGAGGCTTGAACTTTTGACATAAATGTTTTCGCTGTTGAGTCCATAGAGTCTGAAGTTGCTGATATAATGATTTGGTCATAATATGAATCTTGACCTAAACGTTCTGTTATGAGTATATGACGAATGAGGTTAAATGTCTTACCTGAACCCATCTTTCCACAATAGAAATACACACCATTTGAACAGAACTCATAGTCCTTACTGAAAGGAAGAATGAGAGAACTGTTGAGCTTTTCACTGCTTTCATTCATGTCTTCATCTACGTCATGTATTAAATGCTTCATTTTATCTCCATTAAAAATGCAAGTCAGAAATATTCAGAACATAGCACCGAGTCTAACTGACAAGAGTATAAAGATATACTATGAACATGTTATGATGAAACCAACCAAAATTCAAGAAAGTCAGTATACTTATGAATATCCAAGACACTGGGTAGAGTATGTAGGAGGTGAGAAAGCTATTGAAATCAGACAGGTTCGAAGTATTCCAGCAGGAAGAACAATATTATTGAAGAACTTTAATGTTTTGAGGTATAATGATGAAACAAAGAAGCAAGATAGTTTTCCTGTTGCTGTGTATGTGAACTTAGATACAGGAGATGACATGAAAGTTTTTAATACAAAGCTTCAAACGGTAGTGAGAGAACAACTGACTGCGGAAGGGCATCCATTACCTTCAGAAGTTAGCATAGCATATAATTTTGAAACAAACTCAATAGATTTTAAAGTCATCTCTGCAAAGAAGTCAGGTTTTACATTTAATGAAGCAGATGTATATTCGAATGAAAACTTCAAAGCTATTGCATGGTTAGATAATGACGATTGCTTTAAGAAAATATTTAAATACAGTGACTCAACGATGTCAA